TTTCTAACTGGTAGTTTATTTGCATCTTTTACTACGAGAGCTTCAATTAGATTTGAAATGTAATATCCTTGAGAGTAATAAACAGCAATTCTCTTACCAGTATTGATTGCCATATGCTGTTTGGTCCTTATCTCAATACGACAACAGCTTTAAGGTCGCAAAAGCAAGAAAAAGCAATATCTAATAGCTATAGTAATTAGAAGGCACAGCTTCTACGGGGGGCATACGTGCATAGCGTTAAGATACAGCCTCGCTGTCGTTCTTTCACAATACCACAGATACGGTTCCACGCAGGAAGTGAAAAACTTTGATCTGTGGCCATGTGAGAGATATGCTCATATTTGTTTGGTTGGCCTTTGAAAGTTGCAGGAGATGCTCTGAGAGTACATGCTGTAGTCGCTTACAACCCTTTATTGCAATGTTCTACTTATACCAACACCACAGCGAGAGGCTACAGATCGCATGGCATGTATTTGCTTCGTCTGTCATTTTTAAAAATGCATAAAAGTCCACTTGAAACTAGGAAGAGGAACACTGTAATGAAACCCCTTTCAGCAGTCACAACTTTGTGCTCTTACTTGGCATTGTAGGCAGTAAAAAGTCAAACATAAAAGAGTGCAAGATATGAAAAAGATTCCCTTGAGTTTGAAAATAATGTTCCAAGCTACAGTTGAGCAAACCCTATCTGTTTAACAATAATAATTTATAATAAAGTAGTAAATAGTAAATAGTAGTTCACCCAGGTTTCGGGAAGAAGGCAGTCTCCAAAAACTGAAAACATCTTCAAAGTGCAGTGAGAGCAAGTACTTTTACCCACAATCCATGTGACTCATATATTTGGACCTCTGAGGCATAAATTACTGGAATCTCTGACCCTAGACAGTGCTATTTTTATCTGTCAGAGACACACACTAACATATCCAGGCACCACTTGCTCACATTTATATCACGCTGTCATTTTGGATCAGTTGTTTGACATTCTGACACATCTTCCTGTAGCAGAGCTTTCAGACACTTAAGCAATGTTATGGCTGTTTGTTGTCTGTTTGTTTTATGATTGTGTTTTACTTTAGGCATTTTTTGTCTTTGTGATGAATGCGTGGTTTTTGTTGTTGTTGTTGTTTGTGAGGGGTTGTGGATTGTTCAACCTCAGTGAGTCGTAGTTCACAGCCTGTCTCATGTTTTCAGGCATTACACACACACATGAGTTTTAGAAATGTTGCGGTTCGTTTACCTTCACTAAAACAAAACATTCCACACTTGGAAATTTCTTTCAGAGAAATGTTAATATTAGCTATTATTAGCTCTTACTTTACTTTCTCTACAAACTGAGGTGTGCAAGAGCCTCAACCCCCATTATGAGCACCTTATACAGAGGCACCGTTGAGAGTACACTCACAAGCTGCATCACTGTGTGTTATGGCTCCTGAACACAGTCCTGCCAGGAAAAGTCAGTAATGAGAGCAGCGAAGAGGATCATGGGTACATCTCTTCCCTCCCTCCAGGACATCTACTGAACCCACCCTCTGGATTACAGGTGACTCCACTCATCCAACAGCTTTTTCAATTTGCTGCCAAAGCCAAGGGGAGATCTTAAAACTTTTTTAAAAGCAATAGAAAATTGTTCTGTTGTAGATGGGTTAAAAACA